TTTGAAATTCTTGTGCATCTTCCAGATATAGATTGCAATAGTAGCAATCATAGTTGATTGATAGTTGCAATCACATCAGTTGATAGATAGTTGCAAACATATCGCACATCCTAGAGCTTTTAAAAATGCAGGCATTTATTTTCTAAATAATTGTTTGCCTTTTAAAGGCTTTGTTTTCACTCCAATTGGTATTGGTACCAGTGATCAAAGAAATTTTTGTATGATCAAAATAGTTAAGAAATAGGAAAAGATACTTTTTGCTTTAAATTGATACGTGTTAGATTATTCCATCTGCCTGATTTATTCCATCCAACAACAGTTGTACGGATTAAATCAGGCGGATGGAATAATCTAACACGTACACTCAGTACTGAGTAACACTAAAAACGAGATTGCGGTTTCGGTTAGAAATGTTCCCTTTAAGTATGAACATTAACAATAGTTCTGTATTTTACGCAGTGGGATGGAATAAATCAGGTGGATGGAATAATCTAACACGTATTGTAGTAGATTATTCTATCCCGCTGTGTAAAACATTAAATTGATACTAATTTTACATCTATTTTTTTCCATTTTTATGTCATAAAGATAATGTTCATATAAATGTCGTTTACAAAGTTACCATTCACATGAATCAAATAAATGTGAGTAATGCGCGGTGGGATGGAATAAATTAGCCGGATGAAACAATCTACCACATATCTTATCTCCCTTTGTGAATCGTGCAATATGAGATGTATGATACTGGTATTGAATATTAGTAAAAATATAATTAGTATAGTTATCAGTCTAACATATCATAATTATTTTAGCATAATTTAAAAATATTGTTATATTAGTTTTTTTTTATAAATTTACGCATTTTTTATTATATTTTTAAAGTTCTATTTTTGCTATTTCTTTTGATCTACATAAACTAGTATCGATTCATTAAAAAGACTAAATGTTTTATACAAATTAAAAAAGTATTTTTATATAATTATTATGCCATTGATATTACTTTTTAAAGTTAAAGCTAGTGGAGTTTTCTGCATAAAGGAATTAAAAAACTTGTTTTTATTGGTATGATAAAAAAAATTTTCTCTTAATTAGAGCCGCGAGATTTTGCATTACGTAAAAACCATACTCTGCTATAGGTTCATCTTACATATATATTGTTTTCTATTGGTAAGATAAATTTTAATCCAATTATAAGTTTTATTAATTATACTATAATGCTTTAGTTTATCTAATAGGACGCATTTTTTTCCCCCTAAATCAGTCCTTAATTTAGTTTACCTGAGCTTTTTACTTAAATTAGATTTAATAAATAATTAATATAACCCAAAGTGACAAAGTTAACCATGGATTTGAAATAATGGTAAGAGTCTTAGTCTAAATTATTGCATTATCATTGTGACAATAAGCCCTTTTAATTATATTCTAGCCCTTTAAATTTACTATTTACTAATCAAGCTTTGTATATCTTGAAAGACTTTATGGGGTTTTTTTTATGTATTTTTAAATTATATCCTAATTTAAAACATCTGTCTAAAAATAAGCAATTATAAATTTTATGAATTACCTTAACAAACCTTTAATAGGCTTTAAATTAGTTTATTTTTGAAGCATCTTGGTATTAGTATAATACTCCTCTAAAAGAAAAAACAATTTGTTCTGAGAGCAGCGTTAAAAAGAGATGTTATCTAAAAGCAAACAAAAAACTATTAAAATCTTACAACAAAACTATTATTGCCATGGCAACGTGAAAAAAGTTTACTCAAAATAGCAATGACATGATTTTTTTTTTTTTTTTTTAATTTTATATTTTGCTGTTAAAATTAATTACAGATGAGTTTTACATGGTAAATATCAGTAAATAAAATATTTTAAAAATAGACGAGGACTCAAAGAAGAAATGGATGATGCAATATCACCTCAATCTATTCATAGAGCCCCTTAATATAATAAAATATTGATATTTAAAATTATAAAATATTTAAAATTATAAAATTCAAAAAGAGTTATAAAAATCCAAGATATAAAAGTAACATAAAAAAATAACAAATATATAAAATAAATTAAAGATGTAACAAGAAAAACTTATTTTAACAAATACAAAGATATTTTGCAATAACAATATTGCAATTTTAGGTATTCAAAGAAATAAATACAAATATATACACAAAGATTTGATAATTAATACATTAAAAGAAACTTAAAAATTAAAAGTTTATTATGATAATAATCATAATAAACTGTTTAATGGTGCTACCAAAAAACAAAGTTATTCTTACTTTAATGGTGTTTAATGTTTAATGGTTTACCTTAATGAGATGTATATAGTATATGAATGAGATTATATAGTATATGAGATGTATGATACAATAGTATCTTACATATCATATTGCATAATTTACTAAGATGGGTGTGACAATTTCATACAGATTTGTACATTTGTAAAAGTACATTTATAAATCACTTTTACATAATTTTGTAAATAATCAATATATAGTTGAATAATTTCAATCACTATCACTCAGGGCCACCAGGGCAGTTTGTCCCGGGCGGCAAATAAAATGTAGGTAGCAAAAAAAAAAGAAAGTCCTTCATATATAATAAGGGAAAATTTGATAAATAAGGGCACCAATCAGGATTGTTGTCCCAGGCACGTGACAGCTCTCGGCGGCCCTGCTATAACTTAATTCTATAATCACACCATCTTACATTGAGTGATATACTAGGAGGAGGTAATAATTCAGAAACTTATTAAAGTATTTACAATGTATTTTCAATTAAATATATAACTGATAGTTTATAGTTGTATACTTTTTATTACATCACTTAGTACCATTATCAAAAAACATCAATGATTAAATAGGAGAAAGATGATAATTCAAACGCAAGTTTAAAGATTTACTTGGGGGAGGTGATTATTCAGACAGATGTTTTTAAACTATTTTTACATAATTATACAACTAATTTAACCAGAAAATAATTTTTTTTTCATCTGTCTGAACAGTTCAATGAATTATACTTTTACAAATACTATTTAAAAATAAACAACTATTAACTATTTAGTTAATAGTTTTAATAATTTTTTATCATTATAACTCTTTCTTATATCGCCTTTCTTATAGTAATCTTTATTTCCAGAATTCTAACCCTCTAAGCGTTTTCTCTCCTTATATTTATGGGCAGGATTGAAAAGTCTTTTTTTTTCAAAAGGAACGACTTTTATAAACTAAAATAGAAATTCAAAAAAAAAAAACGCTTAGAAGGGGGAAGTAATACCTAACATGCTCAGGGCCGCTGAGAGCTTTTGTGACGCCCGGAGCATAGCGTTGAGTAGGCGTCCCTTTAAGCATACGTAATTTAAAAAAAAGTTCATCGAATTCATTAATGCATATATATATGTATAACTGAGCACGGTTTTAAAATTAATTTTTTTAATTGTGACTTATTTCTGTTAAAATCAATTTACGGCAAAACTTTCAAAAAATGCGTCTATAAAAAAATTCGAATTAAGATGCACACATATGGAAAAATAGGCTGCAGACTTTTTGAATGTATTTGGTTAAGAAGGCTCAATGAGTTTCTAGGAATAAAAAACGAAGACTCCTTTAAACAATTATAATGCAAAATTTCTTGTATGAAGTCGTCTTCTTCGACATCATTAACGTAGAACTGTGCTAATTTACGAGCTTTGATCTCTTGAGAAAAGTTCCTGGTTTTTCAGCCAGATGAATGAGAACCTTGAAAAAACACTCTTTACCATGTCAAATCATGACTGAATTTGATAAATAAATGACAAGCGACGTTAAAGATGTTTCTCTCAAATTGATGCTCGGGCTCTGATAGCAGAAAACTGCATTTTCAAGTTCATTGTGATACCGCTTCACTCTCTTCTTTCGTTTTGCTAAAAATTCCGCTTCAAAGCCTAGAGGACCTGCAACAGCTTTCACTTCAGTCAAAATATTGATGAGCGGATGCAGCCATGATGAGCGGATGCAGCCAAGATTGTTTATTAGCTGTTGAATTGAAAACTTTGTCATCTATTGTTAGCGAAGTTGCCTGGAACAAATGGCTAAATTAATCTACTACTTGAAGAACTTTATATCAAAAGGTCGGAAGTATAACAGTCTTAAAGGATTTATAAAAGTTTATCAAATACTTAGCTTGGTTTAGCATTTACTTATTTAGATATTTTAACCTTGTTTTACTTTTACTTTTTTTAATTTTTATATCTTTAAAAGATTTTTTTAATTTATTATTTTTCTTTTTCTTTTTACTTTTCGCTTTTCACCTTTAAACATGCATATTTGCCATTTGAGATGCAATTGCATAGAGTGACATTGAAATATGTACTTTAATACTTTCTTGAAATTATATACCAAAATGTAATACACTTCCATATTATGCATATATACAAAAAAGTTCTCTCTAAAAGAAAACTCACTGCACTAAACATAATAATCCGTAAACATGAAAGCCGCCATTGTAAATTAATTAAACCTCTAATTTATTTAATGAAATTATGCTATAAAAATATCATATTAAATCACAAAGCATTGAAATTAAAAGTTAAACATTGTATAGGCACTTGAAAAAAAAAAAATTTATCATTTTTCAGCGCCCTTATTATCTTGGCGACAGGGGCACGTATGCCCCCTTCGCCCCTCCTCTCGGCGGCCCTGAACATGCTACCTATAAAGACTCATTTAGTTTCAGGTAAAGATGTTGCATATGGAATAATAACTTTTTTGTTAAAGCCATTGAAACCTGCGTCACGGAAGGAACCTATCGTTCCTTCCGTGACACAAGTTTTTTATGCCTATAACTAAAAATTTAGAATTCTGCTAACAATCTATTTTCTCAAAATTAAGTAGATATTTATAGGTAGTTTGTTAGTTATTTTTGCCCCCATCTAAACGTTTTAATATTTTTTTTAATTTCCAATTTAGTTTACAAAGGTCATTCCTTTTGAAAAACACGACTTTTCAATCTTTCCCTTATGAATACCGACGCTTAGGTACACTTCTAACAGTTATAACCCGAAAGCTCTATCTCGTTTTGAGTTATATAAATAAATAAATCAGTCTGATGAAAAGCAAATTATTGTAAGATTAATAATTACGAATTTCAATAATATTTATTACAATATTTGAGTCTCTATTCCAAAATATTTTAATATCGAGAATTGGGAAACATCAAAGTCAAAGCGATAATATAATTTTTATAAACTATAAAATGAATGATTCTGTGACCAAAGCTGATTCGAAAGCCGTTAAAAGCAAGGGGAAAAAACACAAGCAGTTGAAAATAACAAACCATTATCTTTCAAAGAAAAGTAGGTTTGGTGGTTTAAGTATTGATGATGTTATGAAAAAGAGTTTACCTGATTATATGAGAAATGGTCTTGATATTGTATTTGTTGGCATAAATCCTGGACTTGCAGCTGCGTTTTCTGGAAAATATTATACAGGACCAGGTAATCATTTCTGGAAGTGTTTGTATTTGTCTGGTCTTATAGATAAACCGTTTACATCCAATGATGACCAAAAGTTATTAGATTATAACATTGGATTTACAAATATGGTTTCAAGAACTACTAAAGGTAGTAATGATTTGTGTAAAGAAGAACTTATTGCAGGAAGTAAAGTACTAAAAGAGAAAATTCAATTATACCGACCACTTATTGTTGTTTTTAATGGAAAAATAAGCTATCAGGTATTTTCTGGTAAAAAAGATTTCTTTTTTGGAAAGCAGTCAGAATTGGTTGAAGGTACAGATACTCATATTTGGGTTATGCCATCTTCAAGTGCTAGATGTGCACAATTACCAAGGGCAGAAGATAAAGTACCATTTTTTACTGGCTTAAAGCGTTTTTGCTTATACTTAAAAGGAGTTGGTACATGTTCAGTTGATGAAAACATAGACTTTGTATTCAAAAATAATTGTCTTCAAAGTTGGACAAAAGTTAAATAAAAATTATGCTACTATAAGTATTATTAATATTTATTTATTCACGCAAAAAAATAGTTTCATCTTTTTTGGAGTGTTTAAAAAAACAACATAAAATTGGTCAACATTTAGCATACAGCTTAAGAAATTTCAAGAGTCTATATTGTAGATAAAATATTAACGCCATGAAGGCATCCTATCCACATAAGGTTTGATGAAGGTAAATAATATTTCAAGGTTTAAAACAATATTTATCCAATTACTTGCAGCATTTCATAAATATTCAAAAAATTTATAAATTTTTTGAATATTTATGAAATGCGTTTCTTCATGCGTATTTAAAATTTTATCCAAATTCAACAGACTATTAGTTTTTAAAGCCAAATGTTATTAGTCAGGTCTCAATTCTTAATATTTCAATTTTAAAAATATACATTTAAAAAACTGTTTAATTTTTGTACTAAAGTTGAGTAAAAAGATTTTTTGTTGTGTATATAGCTGGTGTATATAGCTTTATGTTGATTTATAATATATTTATATAGTTGATATATAAAATGTAAGTAGTTTTGAATTATCAAGTATGTTTTTTTTATTGTATAATAAATATTTCATTTAATTTATTATATGAATATATGTATTAATTAAAATATTGTTATTTTTTTTTTTTACTTTATAAAAGAATATTTTTATTTTTTATTTATTTTTTAAAAAATGACTGTGACTCAATTTAAAAAGTTTAGATGTTGATCTAAACTTTTTAAATTGTGTAAAGAACACAGTGAAGTTTTTTATTAAAAGCTTAGTATTAAAAATAAGTATATAATAATAGTATAATAAAACATTATTGCACCTATTTATAATATTTTTTTATAATATTTTTACAGAATAATAATATTTATAATATTTTTTACACTTGTTCTTTCAGTTCTGCTGTGCAATAGAAAACCATTAGTAATAGTTGGTTTTTTAATTCTACTTTTGTATATAGAACAAACTGCTAAGTTTTTATCTATTATTTTCTCTATATAGAGAAAATAATACGTGAAGTTCTTATTTCTTTATAATTTACTAGCAATAGAATCGTCTAAACAAATTATTGAATTGTATAGATAAGAGAATGGAAGAAAGTGTTTTTCTCGATTTCTTGTTTTTAGAGCTACTAACTTTTACCTTTGCTCACCAGATTTAATTGATTGTTATTTCTTAATTGTATTAAATTAAAAACTAATGATTTTGATTGCTTTTAGTTTTAAAAAAGTTGTTATATACTTTTTTTTTTTAATTTATATGAACTTTTTTCTCTTATTTTCAAGGTAATGAAAGCATTATTGCTTGACTAGAAATTGTTTTTTTATTTAAGCTTCTCAAATAAAAAAAAAAAATTATAGATATTCTAAATATATAAAACTTTATGAAAAAATTACTTAAATAAATTTTGTTAAACAAATTTAGTTTTTAAATTTAATGGTTGTTTGTCAATAAAATATAAATTCTATAATGTATATATATATATATATAATGTATATATATATAATGTATATATATATATATATATATATATATATATATATATATATATATATATATATATATATATATATATATATATATATATATATATATTATATTAATTTAAAAATTATAAAAAATATTGAGAAAAAAAGTTATAATTAAAAAAATGTTGTTGAATTCCCTTTCTTCGTTTTAAGTTAAAAAAGTCATTTTCTGTTTACTAAAATCTAAACTGATAAATTATTTGTATAATGATTCCTATTTTTAAAATTTTTTGATTATTTCGCTTCATTTGAGACCCGACATGTCATACTTTTGAAGAACTTTTTTTGATATTAGAGACCTGTTTGATGTTTAAGAGTCTTGTAGCGCCCCTAAAAATATTTTTAGGGGTAAATCCAGTATTATTTTACTATATAGAACGCATTTAGGGGGTGTCAGCAGACATCTTCAAAAAAGTTGTTTTTAGCAACACGCTAGTATATAAATGAATTTTTTTAATGCTAATGAAAATTGTTTCCTGCATTTTAATGACGATTGTTTTTCCGTTGTAGGTTTTGTCATCTAACAAGTTTAAGTTAATCTTTTCTCTACCAATAACCTACATAGATAAATAGTCTTTGTTTTACCAGTTCTACGCATAGCAGGTGTTTCTTAAGAATTAATTTATAGATTCCGACCCTTAAGAGCCATTGTCCGTAAGAATCAGGCATTTGCGAATACCAAATGACGCCGATTTAATTCTTTTTCGCATATTTGCTTTTTATAATAGATGCAATGACTAATACAAAATATTTTGGTCTAAATATTTGTCGCTCATCCATGACGGTAATTTGAAAATCATACGAACTTAAGTCAATTTGCCTATTTTGCATTACGTCATACTTTAAAAAGCTATAACTAGAATATTATTTATTTTATAAAGTTTTGTTAACTTATTTATAACAGCCAGCCACAAGTTTTACTAGAAAAATGAAAAAAAAAAATGATAAGTTGTTTGTTGTCTAGAAATCATAGCCTAAAAGTACAAAATCGTAAAAATGTACGAACTTTAAGTAGCCATAACTATTGAAGCCAACACAGCAACAGATTTTTGTACACCAGACGATAGCTGTAGATTTAATTTTTTATTAAAAACATAAAGTTGCACTTGGTTGCATTGACATCTCAAAAAATTAGCCGTAAAGATCACATTTTTGAAAAACTGTTCCAACTTTAGCCTCTATAAAAACTGAAACAACAAATTTTTTTACACTAGATGGTAGTTGTGGGTTTTATCTTCATTTAAAAGCATAATATTGCACTTGGTTGCATTGGCATCTCAAAAAATCAGAGGTGAAAATCATTATTTTTGAAAAAACTGTTCCAACTTTAGATCGCTATAAAAACTAAAACCAAAACTAAAGTCATATTCATCAAAAGAAAATAAATTAGCTAGAAAAATAATAAAGAAAATAAAAAATTTCAACGATTGTTTTTTTTACATTCAATTTTAAAACTTATTAGGCTCACTTCAATTTTAGAACTTAACAGACTCGCTACCCAGGATAAACTCAGATCTGTTTTCTTTGTTATTTATAAAATGGTAAAAATATAAACCACCTGGCTCTGCACACCACCAAATAACGGTTGTATAAACGTTTGTATAGACGTCATGTTGTATAGACGTCTGTGCCCGCTGGGTCTATCTTTTTTCAAAAAATTCTCGTCTTCAGATTTTAATTGTTTCATCACCTAGAATTATTAGTGTTCATTTTTTTCAAGATCTTTAACCATTTCACTGTTAGTCACATTCTTTTTAAGAAAGCCTGCCTCATTAGCTACTTTTAGTGTTAGTGTTAAAATTGCAATAGTTTCTCTTCTTGGTACCGCATTTTTTAATGATGCCGATTTTAATGATTTTTAATGACTTTTTCCATATTTAATGATTTTTTTTTAAATTTGTCTGTTTTTGTACTCAGATTTCTTTCTTTTATTATTTATTTTTCTTGTCTGTTGGCTTCTTTAAAATCTTGAGCACCCATTTGCATGCTACTTTTTGATCCAAATTTTTTTTTTGGGGGCTTTATAAATTGAAGATCTATAAGTGGAATTTTTTTTTTTACTTTCATTGAGAAGAAATATGAGGCTTAAAAGCGCATATCACACTTGCAATTCGCTTATCAAAAAGCTATTCCAGAGTAGGTTTAAACTTAGAAGTGACTCAGAGTTAAAAACATCTGTAGCTCTTTTTCCATAATTTAATTATTTTGTTTTATTGAGTTTGTCTGTTACAATGTGAATTTCAGAATTCGTTTTCAATCATTGTGTTTTCACTTTAAAGGAAACTTTTTTGCATGTATCTTTAAATTTTGCCTTTGCTTTACAGTTTTCATCTCTTCTTAGAAGCAGACCGTATTTTATAACACTTCCTAATGTTGGTAATTCAGAATCTAAAAACCTATCATAACACTAAGTTTACAACTTTGAACTAAAAATCTTTTCATAACAACGCAAGATATTACAGCAAAATATAGCAAAAATAACGATTTTTATAAACTTTATTAATAATTAGGCTACTAATAAATATTTAGGCTAAAATTACTATATAGAGTGTCTAGAGAGCCTATATACTCAGAGAGCGGACATGCGTTCGATCATTTTTGATTAGTTGTTCGATTTTTATGATTTTAGACGCCATCTTTTTGCCAAAAATAAAAACTGCGAATAAAGTCTACTACTAAATTTGTATTAAATATTTGTAAAAGTATGCCTGGTTGTGCTGCAGTAGGCTGCCATAACAGGCCTGAGAAAGGATTTATTATGAAATGCTTCCCAAGAAATGAAAAACAACGGGCGATTTGGACTTCTAAAGTTAAACGACTTAACTGGATACCTACAAACACAAGCTTTTTATGTAAAGTAAGCATAAGAAAATACAGTTTTATGTAATTAATCCTAGAAATGAGTTATTTTTGAATCCATACAAATACATTATATTCGTTCAATTTTTTCATTTTTCATTCTTTTTCAATTTTTTCATTTTTCATTTCATCATTCATTCAAGGTACACTTTGATGCTAATCAATGGGAAAAAACCAGAGAAGATGGATCAAGAAAACTCAAACATAATGCAATTCCTACTGTCTTTAAACATGTTAGAGCAAAACATAAGCGAAAAATTCCACTCGAGCGTTTTCCAATACCAAAAAAAAGAAAATAAGTTGTATAGAAAGTGGAGAAGTTGTGGAAAATATTTTAATTGTAGTAAATAACAATATAGTATCTAAATCACTTTGCAAAACTGAGGTTGATAAAAGTTTACTTATACAAGATTTAAATGCGAAATTGGAGATTAGAAAAAAAAGTCATTAATCAAAAAAAAAAAATTAACATTTTAAAATCGAAAGCAAGAATAAATACTATTCAAAAATATAATCATATAAAGAGAGATAAATTTAGAGTTTTGAAAACAATATTTAAAGAAGATCAAGATTTATCCTTAAGTAGAAAAAATATGAAATTCATTAAATGGTCAATAGATACT